GGGTCACAACCACTCTTGGCCCTGCCAAGGGCAGGGACATGCCCTCTGTTGGAAGGAGCTAAAAGGGGGCCAGGGTCCTTTGACACCCCACCCTCTTGGAGGGGGATAGCACTGGGCTGCCCCCTGACTGCCCCCACCCTGTCCTTCCTACTTCTCCCTCCCCAGCAGCACTGGGTCAAGGATCACTAGCTGCTCCAGTATCCACCAGTCTCCAGGCCTCACATCCCCAGCTGCCTTATTTCTTTGGGGGCATGGGGATGGGGCACCTCCTCCCACACTCCCTTACTGGCTCAGGGGCACTGATCCAGGAGCCCCACTGGGCCAGAGCTTCTCCCACTGCACCCCACCCCATCCCCTGATCCAGTTGGCAGGTGGATCCCACTGTCCCAGCCCAGTGTCTCTCCAGTGGGGATGGAGGGAGGGGGAGGGGGGTTTTCTGTTTTCTTGCATCCTCTTGTGGTGGGGGTTGGGACTAGGCTGGGGGTGCACCCCTGAGCAGCAGCCTGGCTCTCACCCCTGCCCCCCTCCGCCACAGCTCCATGGACATGACCCGGTTGCCTTCGCCCACCAAGGAGAAAGGGGGGAAAGACGTGTTCTTTGTGACGCGCCCGCCCCTGGCCCGTTCCTCCCCAGCCTACTGCACCAGCAGCTCGGACATCACTGAGCCTGACCAGAAGATGCTGAGCGTGAACAAGAGCGTCTCGATGCTGGACCTGCAGGACAGCCGCATGAACAGCGTTTCCAACCTGCAGAGCGTTGGTGACCTGCTCAACAGCAGCCAGGCCTCCATCACCGCTGCCATGGGGCTCCGGCCCAGCCGCCTCTCCCAGGGCAGTGGCTCCAGCATCACCGCTGCCATGGGGCTCCGGCCCAGCCGCCTCTCCCAGGGCAGTGGCTCCAGCATCCCTGCTGGCCTGCGTCTCAGCCAGATGGGGGTCACCACCGACGGGGCCCCAGCCCCGCAGCTCAGGGTCCCCCTCTCCTTCCAGAACCCCCTCTTTCACATGGCCTCGGATGGGCCAGCTGCTCCACCCCCGCACCGCCCCTCCGAGGGCAACCCCGACACCTTCGCGCCCTTCCATGGGTACAGCAAGGCTCCAGCATCCCTGCTGGCCTGCGTCTCAGCCAGATGGGGGTCACCACCGACGGGGCCCCAGCCCCGCAGCTCAGGGTCCCCCTCTCCTTCCAGAACCCCCTCTTTCACATGGCCTCGGATGGGCCAGCTGCTCCACCCCCGCACCGCCCCTCCGAGGGCAACCCCGACACCTTCGCGCCCTTCCATGGGTACAGCAAGAGCGAGGACCTGTCGGCCAGCAAGCACATCATTCACAGCCACAGCTACAGCGACGAGTTCACTCGCCAGGGCTCTGAGTTCACTAAACGCCAGCTCTCCCTGCAGGAGAACCTGCAGAACATGCTCACCCCGCCCCAGATCACCATTGGGCCCCAGCCCCAACCCCCGCCTCGGCCCCCGCCTCAGCCCCAGGCCCCACTCCAGCGTGGCAAGTCACAGCAGCTCACTGTCAGTGCTGCCCAGAAGCCCCGGCCTTCCAGTGGGAACCTGCTCCAGTCTCCCGAGCCCACCTATGGGCCTGCCCGCTCCCGCCAGCAGTCGGTCACGAAGGACACGTCCTCCTCCGCCCTCAAGCCAACCATCACCAAGCAGGTGCGGGGGGCAATGGGATGGAGAGCTGGGTGCAGAGGAGGCTTGGGGCATTGGCTCTTGTTGACTGGTGTAGAAGGGGGAGGTGGAGAGCCTAGTACTGCAGTGGGGAGGCCAGAGAGAGGGTGGTCTGACGGCTACCTGCGTGCTAATGCTCTCTGTTTCCTCTTCCCTCGGTGCGGCAGCCATCGCACACACCCTCGACACTGAACCCTGTGATGCCAGCCTCGGAGCGGACGGTGGCCTGGGTGTCCAACATGCCGCACCTGTCGGCTGATATCGAGAGCTCCCACATTGAGCGCGAGGAGTACAAGCTAAAAGAGTACTCCAAGTCCATGGATGAGAGCCGGCTGGACCGGGTAAGGGAGCCTCCTCCTCCCCCACCCACAGAGAGTCCTGGCATCATGGTGCTGCTCCTCTCCCCTGACTCCCTAGGCCTCTGGGCTCCCAACTCTCACCTCTAGTTTAACCCACCAGTTCCTTCTCCCTTCCCAAGGCTGGAGGACAGAATCCAGGTATTTCAGCTCCCTGCTGTCCTTCTGACCCACCAGACCCCCTGCCAGGAGAACGTGGGCATCTTGGCTCCCTCCTACCCCCTGCCTCCCCAGAGCTGGTGACAGACCACAGGCATCTGGGCTCCCAGCCCCCCTATTCTAACTCACCGGACCCCACTCCCCTCCAGAGCTGGAGCAGAGCCCAACATCCTGGCTCCAGTCCCTCCCGGTGCAGCCCACCAGTCCCCTTCCTTGTACAAGAACCCAAGTGCACTGGCAGCAGGTGCTCCCTGTCACACCACTGGCTCTGGCCACCTGCACAGGTGAAGGAGTATGAGGAAGAGATCCACTCACTGAAGGAGCGGCTGCACATGTCGAACCGCAAGTTGGAGGAGTACGAACGGCGCCTGCTCTCACAGGAGGAGCAGACCAGCAAGATCCTGCTGCAGTACCAGCAACGCCTGGAGCAGAGTGAGAAGCGCCTGCGCCAGCAGCAGGCCGAGAAGGACTCCCAGATCAAGAGCATCATTGGCAGGTGAGGGGCGGATCGGCGCGCCCGGGGCTGCATGGCAGGGTGGGGCACCATATCACCTGCACAGCTGGAGGGGGGCAGGGGGGGCATGGCTCCCAATGGAGTCATGCCGTCCCCGGCGCGGCAGGCGCGAATGCGGGGAGGTGGAGGGCACAGGGTCCCTGGCACACACAGGCGGGTCACGGGGGTGGGTCACAGGCCCTCGGGGCAGGGGAGGCCTCTCCTGTCCCAGACCTTGGTGGCCAGCTGGGTCTGCAGCATTGCTGGCTTCGCATCCTCCCCTTCCACCCCTGTCTGAAACTTCTTGGTCCTGGGAGACTTGGCCTGTCTCTGCCATGGGGAGCTTCCCTGCTGTCCCTCCCCCTGGAGAGAGACCCCTCCCTCCCCTGTGCCCCGCACTAGCTGTCAGGGACCCGTGGCCTCCCCCCGCGGGGGCTCGGGTTGACTCCAGTGAAGCCTGTCCCTGCAGGTTGATGCTGGTGGAGGAGGAGCTGCGCAGGGATCACTCGGCCGTCCACGACGTCTCCGAGTCCCGGAAACGCCTGCTCGACGCTCAGGTGGAAATTACAATGTCATTGTTCTTTTCCGTGTGTCCATGGCCCATCCCATCTCGTCTGCTGTCTGTCCCTTCCCCACCTCCCTTCCTCTCTCCTCCCATGGGCAGGTCGCGGGGCAGCGCTGGGAGAGACCAGACTGACTGGGGGCAGGGAACAAATGCTGGAGAGTTGGACAGACACAGGTGGACTGGATGGGTGGAGGTCTCTGCTGGGAGTGGTGTGGTGATGGCTGGTGCAGGGTGTGGTGGGGCATCAGTGTTGGAAGAAGGACAGACAGTTGGAGGAAACCAGGTGGGGCAGGGAGGTCTGTGCTGGGGAGATGGGTAGACAGATGGATGGACAGACCAGGGGTGGGGTCAGTACTGATGTAGGTGGACAGATAGATGGATCTGGGCAAGGAATGGGGTCAGTGCTGGGCTAGGGGGTAGATGGATGGATGAACAGTACTGCTGGGGGCAGTACTAATGTTGTGGGTGGACAGGCAGATGGATTGAGGCTGGGGCTTGTGCTTGGGGAGGTGGACAGGTGAATACAGGTTAGTGCCATGGGAGACAGCTGGGCTTGCACCTGTGCATGAAGTAGGCCATCAGGCATGACAGGTTGTGAGGTGGGGCAGGGGTATTGCAGATCCAGGGAGGCTGTGGGGCAGGGCAAGGTGCCAGGGGACTCTCCTTGGGTTTGGGGGGGTAGTGGCTGCGGATGGAGTAGTCTGCCTTGGGGTCTCTGGGGATGGCAGGGCTTCATGTAGGGGTTGGGGCTGGGCTTCCAGCTCCTCTTTATCCAGCCATGGGGGCTGCTCCTTGGGGAGATGTTTAGGGTGGCATCGGAGAGCACTGTCTCAAACTTCCAGGGCTTGAGGCTAGGGTGGGGCTCTGGAGGGGCCTTGGGGGCTCAGAGGGCAGGCTGAGGATGCTGTGGGATGGCCTTGGAGCATCCAGTATGCTGTGGGGATGGGTTGGGGCTTGGGCCAGGGAAGGGAGCTCATGCAGCAAATAGGAGCTGGGCCAGGGATACGGGGGTTTGACGATTCGGGGGTGGCTGTGCAGGTCTGCAGACCAGCTGCCTGGCACTCAGTGACGATAGGGGCACCTTATCCCTACCCCACATTGCTCTCTGCCCTTGGGTCCTGCTCCCTGAGGTGTCAGGGCTCTGTGTTGCCAGGAGCGGCTGTGCACCAGGTGAGGGTGTGTGCTGCAGTTTCTGTCCATGACTCCCCAGGCCCTTGCCCTTCCTTCTGCCCCCCTGCTCCTCCACCCTGCCCTGCCTGGGCCCCCCATTTTCTGGGGGGGGCGTTGGAGGCTACGCCGGAGCTGTCCATTTCCCCCTGCCCCCCAGGGGGGCGCCGATGCTGGGGCCCTGACCCCGTCTTGTTTCTCTCCTCTTCGTCCTAGCTGCTCATCAGGTAACTCTCTCTGACTCTGCTTTTGTCACGTGGAGGGATCGGGGTGTCTCTCGCCGCTCGGTCACAGACCAGGTGGGTCCTCTCCACTCCCCCCCCTCCCCCGCACAC